TTCCCCCCCCTCCCCCAATTATTAAGAAAGAGGGCTGAACCTTCTATATTGCTGGGGGATAGTTATTACCCTTGAGTTTCTTTACTTCTAATATTGCTCTTGTAATTCCCTCCTCCTTTTTCCCTCTCTCTCCTTTTCTTCCTCCCCCTCCCTCATGCCCCTTTTATTGCGGGGACTGCATTTTAAGTTTGAAGTTTAATTTCCAGATTTTTATCTGCTTCAATAAAAATCTGTAATAAGGGCTTAAATATAAAATCTGAATGTGTTTGCATATAATAATAATTAATGCTTTGCACCTCTACTGAATTGTCCATATGAAAATCTCAAAGCATTTGGTCTTGCAAGTCCTCAGACTCAGAGAAGTGAAAGGATATATTTTCAAAACTAGCCTCTTGATTTTCAGTGCCTTCAATTTTGAATGTTCCACCTTAGGATATGATCTTTACTGACTTGCCCAAAATCACACAGCAAATCATTGTCAAAATGAGAGAATCTTGCTTTTTGTAGAGCATTTATATAATCATGTTATTCCCTATCGCGGTTATATTTACCTGTGAGGCTAGCTTTGCTATGTACTAATTCCCTATATTGAGCTTTTCATTAGAGACCATGTATACTATGTAGTTTCTCAAGCTCCTTCATACTGTCGAAAAAATCAAGCTGTAAATAATTGTTTTGGAAGTAAATTACATCTGGATGAATCTTTTGCTTGGCTTCTAGGGCAAAGGACCTTTTTGGGAAGTCTGTCAGGGTCTGTAAAGGCCCCCGAGCAGTATTCTCTCGAGTTCTACTATTGTTCTCACTGACTGATTCAATGGAGGATGAAGAAGCAGGTAGTGGTGGCCAAGGCCAGCTTTCCACTGTGCTTATGGTAAAGATGGGTCGTACAGTGTTTCCTAGTTATACAGTAAATAGGAAAACTTCAATCTTCCAGGACAGAGAAGATCTCCTCAGGTGAGAGCAATTTTGGCTATCTGAAAACTGGTTCATGGGGACAGCATATGAAATCTATCAGGCACCCATTTCTAGATAGACGCTAGGGGAAGTGGGTGAACCTAGGGCTGGGAGAGCACATGTGGCCCCAGCTCTACTCCTCTGAAGCATGGAGGGCCTCAGCCCTGCCCCTTCCTCCCCAGAGTGCAAGTGGCCCCGGCCTTCCCCATCGCCCCCGTCCAGGTGGTGCATGGCTCGAGCCCTCCTGGAGGGTAGGCAGGCAGGCACCCCGTCCTCCTCAGCTTCCTCACCCCCGGCATGGGGAGGGCTGGAAGCACAGGGCTGAAGCCTAGGCAGTCCCAGGAGAGTGGAGGAGCTGAGCTGAATCAGGTGGACTTATGGGCAGGGCTATCCAGGCAGTTTGGGAAGGTTCCCTCGGCCTCTTGTGCCTGCCTCCCATGATACCAGGGGTCTCGAACTCCTGGCCTGCAGGAGGGTTTTTTTTTTGGGGGGGGGCTGTCTGTTATCTGATTGTGCAAGTTATTGCTCCAGCTGGAAGTTTTTGAGACCCGAGCCTATACCTAGGGTTGCCAGATGGTCTCCCAAAAAATACCAAACACACAGGCTAAAAATTTGTCAAGCCAAAAACAAACAAAAAAACCCTACACACTTCCACAAACACACATTCTATGTTTAATACTTAACTTTATTATAAACAGTCTTCATCCTACACCATCTCTACGTAAAGAGGCTTAGAAGTAATTGTGCAAATGTGCATGCTATTTTCATTGTTTTCTATTCCTCTAAAGCTAAGGCTATAGAAAAATTTAGAACTCCTTTTTATCCTGCAGCTGGAATGATTGTAGAGAACTCCCAGTGCTGATCGCGCCCAACCTCCCAGCCACTCCCCACTCCCCCACTAGGCTTCTGACATGCCCAGAGCGGCTATCGCAGCCCCTTCTCCCTCCTGGGACTCCTAGGTTGGGAGGTGGGGCCACGATCGGCACTGGGAACATGTGATTGTGCAGAAGCCTGGCAGGAGGTGTCTGGTATTTTTTGGGAGACCATCTGGCAACCCTACAGGCTGCAGGGGGGACTCAGATGTGCTGGGCTGAGGGAGGCCAGGCCCACAGGCCTGAGAGATCCTTTGCTGTGTTCAAAGCTCAGTAAACTCTCCTGTTTTGTCAGAAAATACCGGACATTGCACGTGTCCGGTATTTTCTGTTTTTTTTTTTTAACCAGACAGAGAGCGCAATTACCAGACTATCCGGTAGAATACTGGACACCTGGCAACCCTACTTATACCTTGTCAGCTTATCTGTGCCATTGCTGTAAATTGTAAGGCAAATAGAAGACCAGAGAAAAATACACAACAGGATATTCATGGTTGGTTAATGTAGAGTCTGCTAATAACCCACCCCAGATTAGCACTGCCTGGTGGCCTCACATTCTGAACCAGTGTAGTTTATCTCCTTGCTTTGTGGTCATCTGCTGATGAATGTTGCTCATTAAATTGCCACGCCTGCTGTTCGTACGAATTCCTAGAAATGTTTAGACTAGAGAAAGCATTTTAAACTTGATGCACACTGATGTAAACTCCATTCACTTCAGAAGATTACTCCTGTATAAAGTAGGCCTTGTGGTGTTCTTTTTAAAATGCCTTTGGAGATGAGAGTGGGAGAGAAATCAGATAACATTATATAAAGGGAATGAGTTATTTTTAACTGTAAACTGTCTTTGCACCTAGATTTATTTTTGTCTTTGTGGTTTGGATTTTTTGTTTTAGATATGCAACAGCTGCTCACTTGTCAAATGATGTAGCTGTTGCAATGGCTAATGGGAACTGGACAGAAGCTAAATGTCTCTATATGTGTGCAAAAGGAACCTGGCATGAATTGAAAAATCATCCTTCTTTGAGGTACTAAAGCAGAAAAGCACATTAACATTCATATGTATCTAGCAGATATATGATCTCACTTTTGGTTCAGCTCCCATTGAAGGAATCTTGTATTCTTGCGTTCTAATCCAAGTCTGTTGAATTCAGCAGTTTCACTGTTTTTGAAAGCTTTGAACTTCCTCCTTTATTTGTTTAGCTTTAAATGGCTTAAATTGGAGAGAGATTTTATGTAAGAGTTGCAGAGTGAATTGATAAACTAAGATAAAGCACTGAAACAGCTCTATATTCTACATGCTGAAATGAAGAATAATAGGAATCTATTTTTCACTTGTCATAGTTTGTGCTTATGGGTGCTATACAAATGGCAATCAGCAGAATTGAAAATTCACAAAGAAGAAAGTAACGTTGCAAAGGTTATGGCAAAACATATCACTTATTCATCTACTGAAATTTCCAAGTGGGTTTTATTCAGAAAGAATTACTAACAATTCTCAGACCTGAACTTACACGTATTGTTGTTCGTGTCTGTCGTCATTTTTCATTGCAGTTGTTTGTCAGCTAGCTTGATAATATCTTGAAAATCATAGTCCATTGTTTGCCATAATATTCATTCTCATGGCAACTGACTTAAAATCATATTCATGGAGGACATTTTATAAGCTTTCTCCTGTCGAAGTCAATGGCAAAGCTTCCTTTCGTTGAGACTAGTATCATGCTCTTGAATGGATATTCCAGGAGTCAGCAACCAGGGGTTCTTTGGGCAGCTGTTTTTCTGTAGAGAAAAAAAAACCAAAACCCAACCCCTCCCAAAAATCAAAAACAAAATGCCCTGAATTTCTGAATAAACTAGAAGTGCATCAGGGCTTAGGCAGGCTTCCTGCATGCCGTGACCCCATGTTTCCAGGGGGATTTGGCTTCTGCCATGTCTCTGCATGTCCCTGGTGAGGAGCAAGGATGTTAACTAGCGGTTAATTGACTCATCGAATAGTCAACGGAAATTCCATCAACTAGTCAATTAACCACTAGTTAACCTCCTTAGTCAAGTAGTGGATGGAATTTCCATCAACTACTCAACTAGTTGATAGGCACTTCTGTATTCCTCCACTGGGGCTCTTGTACATTTCAAAGGAGGAATGAGGAACTCCACCTGCAGCCTAGGGCCAGCAGGAAGTCCTGCTGACTCTGGGCTGCATGTGGGTGCCACCTTTGAAATGCACAAGAGTCCCCAGCGGCTGGCACAAGCACTAATCAGACTGGTAACTATGACACCAGCTGCAACACTTGAGTGTGTGTGAATGAATGCGTATGCTGATTTCTGTGCTGTATTTGTAATAAACACGGCATATTGCCTCCCTCACCCCTCCCCTGAAAAAGATGCTGTGTGCTTCTTATAAGCAGGGTGTGACAAGCCCAGCAAGAGCCACTCGCCAGCCCCACACTGCGCATGCGCCAGACCGGCACTGTGCATGTGCGAAGCGCTGGTGAATGGGGTGCTCAGAGCGACCGGCTGAAATCCTCTCGCCATGGGCGAGTAGATTCAGCAGTTTGTCAAGCCCTGCTTATAAGCATAACACAGTTCCTTGTGCCGGCCCAGATTTGTGATGCAGCTCTCATAATTTTTTGGTGTAAGACAAAATAAAAAAAATTACTCTTTGGAAAGTTGCTGACCCCTGGTATATGTCATCAAAAAAGACAGCTCGTACCTGTAGTTAAATAAATGTATTTGGGCAGGAAAGCCTATTTCAACCAGTGGCCTTTTTTTCTAGCTGTTTGCTAGCTGACCTTCTGGCTTGGTAGAAAACAGCTGTGAGTAAACAACGAACAAACAAACAAAAATTTTCTTTCAGCCGAGGTATGGTATGTGAATCTTTAGTTTCACTGGTGGTTGAACCAAAGACCTAGCTGTCATAATATTAATATCAGTCCATTTCACCGGTCACCTTAATTCTGTCAATTGCTAACGTTGGAGCGATAAACTTTGCAACCTTGATCTACTTTTTACTGCATTTTTATATATAATGTATTTTGTTTTTATAAGCACTCAGTTATTTGTATGCTTTGTAAGAAACAATTTGGATAGTCATTCCTATTTAAATTATCTCTGATGTGTTCTTTGTTTTTAAGATGTCACAGAGACTTACCTGAGTTTCTGCGACATTTTACAGTTGGGTGGATGTATACAAGGATCCTCTCTCGAGGGGTTGAAATACTGCAGAGACTTCACATGTATGAGGTAAAGGAGTGGTTTATTTTGAATTGCTAATGCTTCTGTAATGAAATTGCTATAACTGGCTCTTAAATGTAAAATCCCTCCATGGGTGGCAGTATTAATATATTAAAACTGCACCGTGTCAGACCCCACTAATGATACAGTCCATGGGCATATTGTAGAAGATGTTGAAATTACAATAATAAATGAAGTTTTTATCTGCCCTGTTGCTTTAGAGATGATAGGATCTGGTGACCTTTGCTTAAAGGTAAACCATGAAGAAAAAATGGTGTGCCATTTTTCTTTCTACATTAGGAACTATGGGGAAGGCTTGAATTTTTTTCAATGCTATTTTTTCCTGCTTATGTAGTAATCTTGGGTTTTGAATTCCCTGCTGCAGCTGGAAGATTCTGGGGAAGGCTGCAGATCCAATGGGGGATTATTCTATGGCAACAGTTTAACACTGCAGGATTTTTAGATACCTCCTTTTCATTGGATTTTGTTAACATCTTGTAAAAGTCAAACTCCTGGGTAGGGATGTAATAGTGTAGTTGATTAACCAATAAGCAAAAGCTTATACCCCCCCCCCCCCCGCCAGTAAACTTTTTAGCAGGCTTGCCAGCAGCCCGGCTCAGTCCTGGCTTGCGCCGGGTCTGGGACCGACCCCTACAGTGGCTCTGCATTTAAAGTGTATTAGGAGCCAGGCAGGCAGGCAGCCCAGCTCAGTTCTGGCTCATGCCAGGTCTGGGAGCTTAGCTCCACCGGGGAACAGGAGCTGCTATCACCATGCTAGGAGATTGACTGACAAAGACAGAACTGTTCTTACAGTATTCAGCAAAGAGAAGTGAGGGAAATAAAAAAGAAAACAAAGAAACTGCTAATAAAATAAATATTTCCAGTATACTTTAAAAGCGACGAGGAGTCCTGTGGCACCTTATAGACTAACTGAAGTGTAGGAGCATAAGCTTTCGTGGGCAAAGACCCACTTCGTCAGATGCATGTAGTGGAAATTTCCAGAGGCAGGAATAAATATGCAGGCCAGGATCAGGCTGGAGATGACCAGGTGGATCCAATCAAGGAGGATGAGGCCCACTTCTAGCAGCTGATCTGGAGGTGTGAATTCCAAGAGAATAGAAGCTGCTTTTGTAGTTAGCAAGCCATTCACAGTCTTTGTTTAATCCAGAGTTGATTGTGTCAAACTTAAAGATGAACTGTAGCTCAGCAGTTTCTCTTTGAAGTCTGGTCCTGAAGTTTTTTTGCTGCAGGATGGCTACTTTTAGATCTGCAATTGTGTGTCCAGGAAGATTGAAGTGTTCCCCTACAGGTTTTTGTATGTTGCCATTCCTAATATCAGATTTGTGTCCATTGATTCTTTTACGTAGGGACTGTCCTGTTTGGCCGATGTATATAGCAGTGGGGCATTGTTGGCACATGATGGCATATATTACGTTGGTGGATGTGCAGGAGAATGTACCAGTGACAGTATGGCTGGTCTGGTTAGGTCCTGTGATGGTGTTGCTGGTGTATATATGTGGGCAGAGTTGGCACCGAGGTTTGTTGCAAGGATTGGTTCCTGAGTTCGAGTTATTATGGTGCGGTGTGTAGTTGCTGGTGAGAATATGCTTCAGGTTGGCGGGTTGTCTGTGGGCAAGGACCGGCCTACCTCCCAAGGCCTGTGAGAGCGAGGGGTCATTGTCCAGGATGGGCTGAAGATCACTAATGATGCGTTGGAGAGGTTTTAGCTGGGGACTGTAGGTGATGGCCAGTGGTGTTCTGTTGGTTTCTTTCTTGGGCTTGTCCCGTAGCAGGAGGCTTCTGGGTACACGTCTGGCTCTGTCAATCTGTCTCCTCACTTCCTCGTGTGGGTATCGCAGTTTACAGAATGCTTGTTGAAGGTCTTGTAGGTGTAGGTCTCTGTCTGAGGGGTTGGAGCATATGCGGTTGTACCTCAGTGCTTGGCTGTAAACAATGGATCGTGTGGTGTGTCCGGGATGGAAACTGGAGGCATGCAGGTAAGTATAGCGGTCGGTAGGTTTTCTGTATAGGGTGGTATTGATATGACCGTCACTTATTTGTATCGTGGTGTCCAGGAAATGGACCTCCCGTGTAGATTGGTCCATGCTGAGGTTGATGGTGGGGTGGAAGCTGTTGAAATCATGGTGAAATTCTTCCAGAGTCTCCTTCCCATGGGTCCAGATGATGAAGATGTCATCGATGTAGCGTAGGTAGAGAAGGGGTGTAAGTGGACGAGAGCTGAGGAAGCGTTGTTCCAGGTCAGCCATAAAAATGTTGGCGTATTGTGGGGCCATGCGGGTGCCCATAGCAGTGCCACTGGTCTGGAGGTATATGTTGTCACCAAATCTGAAATAGTTGTGTGTGAGGATAAATTCACAGAGTTCAGCCACCAGTTGTGCTGTGGCATCATCAGGAATACTGTTCCTGACAGCTTGTACTCCATCTGCATGTGGGATGTTTGTGTAGAGAGCCTCTACATCCATGGTGGCTAGGATGGTGTTTTCTGGAAGATCACCTATGCATTGTAGTTTTCTCAGGAAATCCGTAGTGTCACGAAGGTAACTGGGAGTGCTGGTGGCGTAGGGTCTGAGCAGAGAGTCCACATAGCCAGACAGTCCTTCAGTAAGAGTGCCAATGCCCGAGATGATGGGGCGTCCGGGATTTCCAGGTTTGTGGATCTTGGGTAATAGATAGAACAACCCTGGTCGGGGCTCTAAAGGTGTGTCGATTTGTTCCTGTGTTTGTTTGGGGAGTGTCCTGAGCAGATGGTGCAGTTTCTTAGTATATTCCTTAGTGGGATCTGAGGAAAGTGGCCTGTAGAATTTGGTATTGGAGAGTTGTCTGGCAGCCTCCTTTAGGTAGTCAGGCCTGTTCATGATGACAACAGCACCTCCTTTGTCAGCCTCTTTGATTATAATGTCAGAGTTGTTCCGGAGGCTGTGGATGGCATTGCGTTCTGCACGACTGAGGTTACCAGGCAAGCGATGCTGTTTTTCCACAATTTCTGCCTGTGCACGTCGGCGGAAGCATTCTATGTAGAGGTCCAGACTGCCATTTCGGCCCTCAGGAGGAGTCCATGTGGAGTTCTTCTTCTTGTGCTGTTGGTGGGAAGGTATCTGTGTGTCAGTGCACTGTTCAGTGTCGTGTTGGAAGTATTCCTTGAGACGGAGACGGCGAAAGTAGGCTTCCAGATCACCGCAGAACTGTATCATGTTAGTGGGGGTGGCGGGGCAAAAAGAGAGTCCCCGAGATAGAACAGATTCTTCTGCCGAGCTGAGTGTGTAGTTGGAGAGATTGACGATATTGCTGGGTGAGTTAGGGGTACCATTGTTGTGGCCCCATGTGGCAGGGGGGGTTTTTGACAGCTTACAGTCCTTTTTCCTCTGTAGAGAAGTGAAGTGTGTAATGTAGATCTCCTGTCTTGTTTTAGTAAAGTCCATTTGTGCAGAAGGTTGGTGTTTTATGAGAGACTCCAGATTGGAGAGCTCTTTTTTGATGTTTTCCTGTTTGCTGTACAGGATGCTGATCAGGTGGTTCCTCAGTTTTTTGGATAGTATATGGCATAATCTCTCACTGTAGTCTGTGCAGTATGTAGATAGCAATGGATATGTAGATAGCTATCTCCATGCACTCCTGCCTCTGTATCAGAGGCAGCAGTGCGGGGCAACAGGCAGCCTGTACACAAGGGAAGCTGTTTTTTTAAAGTGGATCCCCTCAGCACCCTGCGCTCCTGCCTCTGATACAGAGGCAGCAGCGTGAAGTGGCAGGGGATTCCTTGGGGGTGGGGCTGGAGCACAATGGCTGCCAGCCTCACCCCCGGGGACTAGAGAATGGTTGAGTAACTGATAAGAATTCATGGGGTTAAATTGACTATTCAGTTAACCGATATTTAACATCCCTACTCCTGGGAGGAGGAAAGGAGGCTGACTTTGAAATGCTTTGCTTATTCTATTGAGGACTAAGAATCTCCAACTCAAGAGGCTCATGCCAGGGAACAGACTTTATAAGAATGAAAAACGGGGAAAAAACTCTCTTTAGCCAAAAAACCACACAAGCTATTTTCAGGCCTTCTTTGTGTATCATAAAGAAACTAAAAAGGCAAAAAAGAATTTTCTTCTTTACAATTGACCTGTAAGTCTAAATGACTCTCTGTATGTTCATAGGAATTGTTGTACAAAGGGATGTTACAGGTTAAAAAGGACTCCGGCTGAGAATTGCTGAGAGTTATAGTAGCCAGGGTGAGGGTAAATCTCCTGTGTTATTACAGCACCAAGGGAAATGCAGCTGGCTTAATTGTATAATGAAGTTTCATCTTGCTTCCTCTGTCATCTAATGGAAGAGTTTTGCATTGCTGTAGGAGGCTGTGGAAGAGCTGCAGAATCTTTTGTCTCAGGAAGTGTATTGTACTGACAGCAGAGGACGATGGTGGGATCGACTGACTCTGAATTTACACCAGCATTTAAAACGCACTGAGCAGGTACCCACTAGCTGTGTGCTCTACTGTCAACAAATAGTACTAGCTAGGTGCCAAAATACTGTGTGTGTATTTTTTACATGTGCAGGAGTGCTAAGAAGGCAATGCGTGGTCTACATTACATACTTTTGTATAACTACATTCTTTAGGGGGTGTGGAAAATCCACATCTCTGAGCGGCATAATTATACTGACTTTAACCTCCTATGTAGACAGTGCTATGTCGGCAGGAGAGCAAAGGTGGAGTTGACGGGAGAGCTCTTTCCCATAGCTGTAGATGTCTTCATTAGATGGGTACAGTGGCACAGCTTTATTGATCTAGTCTAGATCTGCCATGTGCCGTTTGTATAAATATGTTTCCAGGAGCAGTTGATAAACCCTACTTCGCAAGAGAAGCCTGTTTTGGGGTTTGTCTACACTACAGCATAAGCTTGGGCTTGAGCAAGGCTCGAGCCGAATCCCCCTTGCATCTGCACTGCAGTTGTACTATCCCAGGGTCCCAGCACCTTGCGGGGTTGGAGGATCTGAGCTCAAGTTAACCCAGGATCTGAACCTTATTGCTTTGAAGTGTAGATGCAGCCCTACTTGACGAGGGTCCTGGGAGTCAGCCAGAAGTATTTCTCATGCTATGTCTAGACTGCAGGCTTTTTTCAGAAGAAGCTTTTCTGGATGAGATCTTCTGAAAAAAACTTCTTCCAAAAAAAGAGCACGTCCACACTGCCAAAGCACATCGAAAAAGCGATCTGCTTTTTCAAAAGATAGCGTCCATTCAGTGTGGACGCTATCTCGCATTTAAAGTGTGATTACTATGGACGGAGTGGCCACCAGGGCACCTGTGCCTTTTCTGCTTTCCTCTTTTTCCAAAAGAACTCCCTTCTCCCCGTCCACGCTCCTTTTTCCAAAAGAGCTCTTTCGGAAAAAGGCTTCTTCCTCATAGAAAGAGGCTTATTAAAGCTGAGCTAGTGCAAGTCTGTCTACCGGAGGGTGCAGTGTAGACATATTGCCCTCCTGATGGCCAAAGTATGTACAGAGGTTTGATTTTTGCTCCCACCTTCAAGCTAATTGACCTGGTCTGGTAGCTCAAGTACCTTCTTTTAGATCTAGGTTTCCCAGATACTCCCCACAAACAGCTCCTCCAATGGCAACATTGCCCGTGCCTTTGCCCTAGAGTTCCCATGCCACAACTTCCCCCAAATCCATGCCGAGAAAGCACAGCCCGCGAGTCTCAGATTGAGGGAGAAGTTAGGGTCCAGAATAACATACTGTAAAGGACATGTTTACCCCTGCTGTGTGGAACTCCATAGCCTGTATGGGAAGTATCTCGGGAGGGATTTGGCCCACTTTTGCTTTGTATCCCTGCCCCTCCATGGGATGAATTGTGCAGTGGGTAAACTTGCTCTCTAGCTGCCAGTGATACAATTCAGGCTTTGAGACACCGTGTCCATGGAGACCAGTCCTTGGGTTTCTAAGTGATTAGTTGGCAGGTGGCCAAGGGAGAGAAATGTAACGCAGCTTGGGAATGTAGCATAGCTGGGTGTAATGATTGTAAAAGGCCAGACACAACTCTGCGGCACCATTAGGCCAACGTTTGCAGCAGACTGGCAGAACCAGTGTCACGTTTGCTGCTCTGGGTCTGCCTTTGACCTTCACCCACTTTCAGTTAGCAGAAGCAGCTGTTGGTGCATGAGACATCATTGATAAAGCAGCCAGCAGCAGAAATCTGTGTGCTTGATTCCAGATTTTGTGAGTAGGCACCCTAAGGCTCGTCACCCTCCCCACCACCGACATACATGGCAGTGTTCATGGCAAGGCATTATGTGGGTGAGTAAAGACACGCCATAACCTTCAGCTACATGGCTCTCGGTGTGCCCCAACAGCACCTCCTCACCAACACAGTTGGAAGCAGTGTAGAGTACTGCTTGCCTGCCCCTGCCAGGAGTGGGAAAGGCTCTACTGACGGGAAGCAGTAGGAAAAGGATTTGCAGCTCCCTGCTGCGAGAGCCTTGCGGTGTGGCTCCTCCTACAGATATTTTTGCTAATGTGTACAGCTTCACACTGCAGCATGGACACAGCCTGCTGCTCACTGCAGCGTGTGGCTACATGTACCTTACATGCTGCCATCCGTATAGACAAGGTCTGAGTGTGACCCAGTTGCCCCTGCCTTAAGCTACCCCATCTCCACCAGTCCACTCAGAGCTGGTGCAGAACCTCCCTTCCCTGTTTTGCAGATGGAGATGCAGCTGCCTGGGGAGCTGATCTGTTGTTGTTTGTGTTTTAGTTGTTCCTACAAATCCCAACTTTCATCAGAGCTTGATTGTGCTTGGTACTATATAGACCAGGGGTGAGCAATAATTTTTGGAGGGGGGCCATTCCAAGGTTTTGGAAAGTGATCAAGGGCCGTACTTTTCTGTGGAGAGGGTGTGGGGTCTAGGATGGAGGCTGGGTACAGAAGAGTGCATGGGGTAAGGTGCAGGAGACAGTGTGAGGTCTGAGAGGGAGTTTGGGTGAAGGAGGGAATTGTGACCTGGGAGAAGGGTAAAAGAGTTTGGGTTGTGACCTGGGTCATCGGATTGGGATGCAGGGTCTGGGAGGGTGCTTGGGTGCAGGAGAGGATTCTGGCCTGGGGAGAGATGTAGGAGAGGGTGCAGACACTGGGAGGGAGTTGTGACCTGGGGCAGGAGAGTGTATAGGGTTTGGATGGTGACCTGGGGGAGGGAGTTGAGGTACAAGAGGAGCAGGGGTGGCAGAGGCAGGCTGTGGCTTGGAGGTGCTTACCTAAGCATCTCCTGGCCAGCACCCTCAAAGCAGGCTGGGTTCCCTGCTTGCTGCAGCCCCAGGTCACTGAGGCTTTGTCTAAACTACATCCCTCTTTAGAAAGAGGGATGTAAATAAGACCTATCGAAATTGCAAATGAAGCCAGGATTTGAATTTCCCATGTTTCATTTGCATAATTGTGTCATGGCAGTTTTTTTTAAAAACGCTATTTCAAAAGTGAAACCGCGGTCTAGACGCAGTTCTTTCAAAAGAAAAGCCATTTTCGAAAGATCCTGTAAAAATAAGGAATACCCACTTTCGAAAGAGGGATGTAGTTTAGACATAGCCTAAGAAAGAGTCTCTGCCCTGAATAGTTTACAGCAGGGCTACTCAACTTTGGAAGCCCTGGGGGCCACAAGGATACAGCACATGCCAAGGGCTGCAACTTCAGTGTGATTGCACATACATGCACATAGTGTGAAAGAAGCTATTTACATATACAGGCAGTCCCCGGGTTACATGGATCCGACTTACATCGGATCCCTACTTACAAACGGGGTGAGGCAACCCCACACTAGCTGCTTCCCCCCAGCAGACCAGGGAGACGCGGAGCGGCTTTTCTCAGCAGACACCTTAGCTTGAGAATAAAGGACTGAGGGAAGTGAGGTGTGGGAGAATAAAACTGAGCTCTGGAGAAATGTTTGGCTAGAGTTTCCCCTACAATATGTACCAGTTCCGACTTACATACAAATTCAACTTAAGAACAAACCTACAGTCCCTATCTTGTACGTAACCCAGGGACTGCCTGTAATGGGCATGAGTACAAAGATTATGGCAAGAATATACAACTCGCAGGCCCCATTTAAGTCAGTTTTGCTGGTATTAATAAAATACAATATTTATCTGATTTCCACCCATATGACAGCACTTTTAATGAGCAATGACAGTCCAGGAATTTAACTAATAATATGCATATCAACAAAAGACCATTATATTGACTCGCCGTTGTGGAGCGTGTTCCCAGTGAAGACCATGTTCAAAGGATCCCACCTGTGGACTGTGTGTTGAGCCCCGTGTAAACCCAAACCGCAGCGCAGGCTGCAAATAAATGGGCTGCGGGCAGCATGTTGCCCATGGGTCACGTGTTGAGTAGCCCTGGTTTACAGTCTAAATAATATAAGACAAATAGAAGGTGGGAGAGGACTCATTATTGTTCCCATTTTACAGATGAGACCTGAGCAAGGCTTAGAAGTATGAAGTACTCTGCCCACAGCCACACACAAAGTCCGCAGCAGAGTCGGGTTTTTCAAAGTCTCAATTTAATGCCTTAACCCTTAGACCGTCTTTCCATTTGTGAGTCTGAAGTAATGCAGAGGGCCTATGCTGGGCTCAGTTTTACACTCCATACATTTGCACCATGAGCTGGCATACCTGTTCTTGAATTAAACTGCTGTTAAAGTAGCTGGGTACCCTGGAGAAACTGGCTCAGAATAACTGGCTGCTGCTACCAGAGAGAAATGCTGGGAATCAAGACTTACATGCATTAAATCCTCTGTCTTCAATGGCATGCTGCACTTTATTTCTCTGGTTTCTTTGATCCTCTCCAGATCTTTGCTTAACTGGTACATTTAAGTGCATTGCAGTGGTTTAGGGTAGTGGGGAAAAGCATAGCCACATTTTCTTAGTCAAAATTACAGTGCATAAGCATTTTTAGTTGTTTTTGGAGTACGTACACCTGAACCTCCATACTCTGGGTGTCCCTAATCCAGGAACATCCATAGTACGGACCCTGGCAGGGGGAGGAGTAAGCGGCGCTGACTGCTGCTTCTCCCCCTTCCCCCAGCTGGAGGAACAGCAGTGCAGTGAGGCACTTCATCAGAGGCTTTCCCCTGCAACTCCCCCACTCTTAGGCACTGCCCCAGCCACTATGTAAGGGCACAGAGCCATGTATGTTCCCGGGAGTGGGGCACCAGGTAAGCACCTCACCACTATCCCTTTCAGGTACCCTCCCTCCCAAATCTGCCCCAGCACTCTCCATGGCCCTCCAGATTTCCTTCATCCAGCATACCCTGTTTCCCAGGGTTGCTGGATTAAAGAAGTTCAAATGTATTAGTCACTTGAAATATTTCATTTGAATTGCATCCATTTACAGAGTAGAAGTTATCATCATTTCCAAGTACTCTTTGGAGAAGATTTTAGTCTTGGGTTTCGCTGGTGTAAATGGGGAGTAATTCTAGTGCTACTGGGATCGGAATCCAAAACTCCATCTTGTGCCATTTCACTGGTGCAAGGTGTTTCTTCAGTATCCGGGTAAGAGAGGGGAATCTATTTCCTTTATCACCATCCTTTATTCTCAGTTGCTTTCTTTCTGTGTGCTCTGTACATCAGATTTAAAGCTCAGAAGAATTACTCACATATTCTTCCCAGGTCATTACTTGACTTCTTCTTGGCTCCCTAGGCTATTGAGTGCATTAGAAAAGGGCTGTCGGATCCATTTGTGCGCACAGGCCATCGGCTCGCGCTCTACCAGCGTGCCCTGCGACTGAGAGATTCACCAAGCTGCAAGAAGTTCAGGAGGCTCTTTCAGGAGCTGCCTGCCATAACTGTGGAAGAAGTTACACATGTGAGTAAAGTGTCACTGCTCCCTGAGAACCTACGAGTCCCTGCAGTCTTTTCCTTCTGACTGGGATGGTAACCCTGGTATGTGTGTCTACTTCCCTGCATTTGTATTCTTATTCTCTTTAGTACAAGGTGGCCCAGCCCTCACCTGATGTAAATCAGCAGAGCTCCACTGATTTTGAGCAAACTTTGTTGATTTATACTAGCTGTGGCTCTGACCCAACTTTTCACAAGCTATAAAACGTTGCTTTCTGTGCCCAGAAATAAGAAGTTTAGTGGGCTCCTTTCTAAACTGTGCTTACTCTATTTCATTGGGCTTCAGTTTTCCATGTGTAATATTGGACTAGATATTACTGGTCTCATTGAGGGTCTGTTAGTCCTATTTTAAGGACTTCTGAAAATGAAGGACTGGTAGAATAAGATTTTTGATCTGTTAGAGGCAGGAACATCTGTTTGAAGCACAGTAATATTCATTCTTTCTCCCCTGCCCTTTGTAGTCATTTACACCTGTGCACAGTGGGTATAAAGCACACCAAACCATACTGTGATAGTATGTCACATTTATTGTATACAGATATAAATCAATATCCAGTGAGCAAGAATCAGTCCCATGGTGTGTTAAGATTTGATTTTGGAAAATTTTACCAAAAAGGTGAACTGGAATTTCTTCTTGATTAATTTCATAGTTAAATTCTTTGTGTGCGTGCGTGCGTGCGTCCGTCCTGCTAGATGATATGGGTGAAATCCTGGCCCAGTTGAAATTAGTGGAAGACTTTTGCATTTACTTTATTTGGGTCCCCTAACATTTAATTCAGCCCCTAACCAATGCTAGTGTAGTTCTTTTATGAATACTGGCCATTTCAGTCTGATTTGCCACCCAAAAACTGACTCCATTAGCAAACGGCTGCCAAGGAAATGGCAGCTTAAACTACAACTTCTTTATTTTTAGCTGACCAATAATTCACTTTTTTAAAAGCCTATTTCCCTTTGTAAAAGCAGTGCTAGGGAGCTCTACATCCTTAGCAGAGGTTGAATCACCGAAATAAGGCCGTTCACCTTTAATGTTGGACATTAACTAGCTGTGTTGATGTATTCAGGTTACAATCAAAGGAAAGATGTGTCCCCAGACAGGAGTGGGAAAATCTGTGTTTCTAGTGGAGCATGTTGATGATCAAGAGGAAGGAGAAGACGTCGCTCTGTCCACAGTCATGTGTTCAGTCGAGGAGCTGGCATTAACACATTACAGACAGAATGGCTTTGATCAGGGTAATTTAGTAACAATTTTCTTATACTAATTCAATAATGTTAAGGAATGGAGTATTAGCTACAAAGAGAGAGTGTCTTTTAACCCAATTTTAGCAGTGAAATGGTGCTTTTTTTTTCTTCCTAAAAGTAGCTCTAATTGGTATTTTAGAGCCTTTCTTCTGGACTTGGATTCCTTTTCTTCTCTACATCCCAGTTACAATTTTGAAATGGGGAAAAAATATGTTCCTTTGTCTTTCTAGATCTCCAAGTCAATTAGAAGTTTTTCATTTGGTTTTAGCTCAATAGACTTGTATTTAATATAGTTCTGTTCACGCGTGTAGGAGTTTGGGGCTCCAAACTGTAAGTGGCCGAGTCAGTGCCAGCAGGAGCAAGAGTGCCACTGAGGAAACTGTATAGAAGAGGATTTTATAGGAATCCCATTGTGATTATCTAGACTAGATGATCATCTCTCTCTAGTCCTCTGCTGTTTCAGATTCATTGCAGTTAACAGTCGACATACATACTTCCATTACAGTAAGAGCATTAGCAACTACTTTAGTTGAGGTCATGTAACAGATTCCTTTTATTTTGTTTTCAGTTGCCCGTAACTTGTGAAATATATCATAATCCCCACAGTTTCAGAGGGTATGTCTACACTACCACCCTAGTTCGAACTAGGGTGGTAATGTAGGCAACCGGAGTTGCAAATGAAGCCCGGGATTTGAATTTCCCAGGCTTCATTTGCATAAAGCCGGGCGCCGCTAGTGCGGACTCCGTGCCGCGCGGCTGCACGTGGCACGGACTAGATAGTTCGGACTAGGAAACGAGGTAGTTCAAGCAGTGAAATGGTGCAACGGTAGTTCGGAATAGGAAACCTAGTCCGAACTACCTAGTCCGTGCCGCGTGTAGCTGCACGGCACGGAGTCCGCACTAGCGGACATTTAAAAATGGCGGCGCCCGGCTTTATGCAAATGAAGCCCGGGAAATTCAAATCCCGGGCTTCATTTGCAACTCCGGTTGCCTACATTACCATCCTAGTTCGAACTAGGGTGGTAGTGTAGACATACCCAGAGGGATTAAGGAACTAGTAATCTTTTTTTCTATTATATCTGTATTTTGGCAGAAACAATTTGAATGTAGTAGAAAAGAGAAGTCATCCATTTAAAAAACTATGTCTCAAGGGAGGGCTGAGAATCTAGGCTTTGCAACAACTCTTGTCAGAGCCAGAGATCCAGATAATGGAGTGGTGAGCCAAGTGAAGTATCTGTTGGAGCAGTGAATGGTGGAGCAGCAAGCTACACGTGCATACTACATAGTGTTTTAGTGGGTGATGCTAGAGCCCCATCTCCTATAATTCTCTATTCCCATGATGATCTTTTCATATGACAGTCTCTCCAGATAGTGTGTGCAGCCATCCACGAAACTGAACTTCCTTCTAAATCCCCTTTAAAATAATTTCAGTGGAGCAGCGAATCTTAGACGAGATACCCAAAGCTTTGAAATGTTCACAATGTACTTACTTGGTAACCTTCAAAAGGATCTTGCCTTGATTAAACTTCTTTGTCACGTGTATTGGCATTAAATAAGGAGCCGTAGCAAATTCTGAAAGTGCTATTAATGCCATTAAAACATGTTTTCTACATTTTGTTTAGCGTTAGTATCTGTTTACAGTGTGTCTGTTACAAGTCATCCCACTATCCGTTGCCCTGCTATATGTTGGTTCCGCACTAACGTTGTTGATAAATTTAGGAACCGTTTCATTATAAGTCCTCCCATTCCTTGATCTTGCGTTGCTCAAAAAAAAATTTTTTTTTTTCCAAACGAAAGTCTGCCTTTTCGCTATACGTCCACCTTTTTTTGGAACATATCTTGGATATGTAACAGAGATGGCCTGTATCCTGAACATGATACTTTGCTCTTTTAGATGAGGTTGCTTTAACTACTCAGAGATTGAAATGTGCCTGTCTGTGTGTGCACGGCTAGAAATCTCAATGTGATTTTTGTGTGTGTGTGTGATTTTTTTTTTTCCTTCAGGGATTCATGGAGAAGGGTCCACGTTTAGTACACTCTATAGCCTTCTAATGTGGGATATCATTTTCATGGATGGCATACCAGATGTCTTCAGAAATTCTTACCAGGTATTCATGAAGGGTATTTTTCTCTATCAAAAGTTTTGTTTACAAAAACAGGTAATTATGACAGACATTTATTACAGCCTGTCCTGTTTTATCTGGTGGCAATTCCAAACGTTATCTTGGCACTAGTTTGCTTTTATCGCTTGCTTTTGCTGTCCTATACAGAAATGGTTGTATCCTGTTACTGAAATGCTCTTCGTTGCTAGTTGCTAGTAGTTTGCCCTATCAGGCACAGATAGTGTGCAGTATTCACTCACTTTCCCATGAGTGTTCTCAACTGAAATCTGACTAAAACTGAAGACTTCAGATGCCCATTGTTTTTCCAATGTAGAGGCTTTATGCGGTCTAATATACATGCATAGGTCATCAAATGCTTCAAACCTCAGAAATTAATCTTTTTGGTGCCTTCTCATGGGAGGTCATCGTTCCTTTGCATTCACAGATGCATGTATGAAAATAATAAACTTTCACTATTCCCGTTTAGTATAAACATACATACAGCGAGTGGTCTGCATGAGTTTCGATGATTTCTGCTAGTGCTGCTTTCCTCTGTATTTAAACTCTACTGAAGCCCATCCCTTCATGAATCCATTCCATTTTATAAAATTAATCCTGTTATACACACATCATTACCATATTTAAAAACCCTCCGAGCCTGCTTATAACCAGGATGACTCAGGATTTAACCAAACACAGGGATCTCTGTACAGCTCTTTCATAGCTGGGCTTTTTGTGTGGTGTGTTTCATTTGTTAATGCAGCTTAAAGGTGGCAGGAGACTCATGCCTCAGCAGAGAAGAGGTTGAAAGTTCACCTTTCCCCCTTTCTTTTATTCTTCCTTCCCTGCTTCTGGTTTAGGGACTGCTCTGAGCAAGATTGAGGAAGATTGAAATTCAGGTTTCTGAAGAGCTCTGCAAGCGTGAATCAGAAATCCAAAGTTCAGTCGTTATTACTAAGCAGTGAGCCCATGCATGAGAGATGAAATGGGCAGCTCATAGGGGGTGGGGGAACTTTGAGAACATGGGAGGGAGCTGGAAGTTGCAAGCCTGAAAACTTCTCTGTCCCTACTGCAGATAGGAAAATAGAAGCAGTGCTCTCTCCCCATCTTAGGGAATGGCACAGGGCTGTATAGTATGTAGTGATGTTTGAAATTCAGTTCACTTTCTGGAAACATGTGGTCCCCAGTCTGTCATTTTCTTTATCATTCATTTCAAGGGGGAATATTTTCTCCTGCGTCTACATCCTTGACTGTAACCCTGCAGGTTAAGTAGTACTTGTGGGGACTCTAGGTTCTTAGCTCCTCTGGTGGACATTGAGGTATGTCTGGATAAAAGGAGCCTTGTACATTAAACGTTGCTAAATTAGCAAGAGCCTAGAAATGACTCTTCATTTATTAGATGCTGTGGTTCATTAGATCAAGGTTTGGCTCTTGAGTGTGGCTAGTGTTTGGTGCAGTCATCTTAAATGTGTAAGTGAAGTGTAATCTATTCCATTAGATTGAGTTTTCGATGACTGCTGTGCTTTTACATTACTTACCTTCAAGCCTGCTGGATTCAAATTAAATTGTAGCCCACTATTCAAAGCAGAGCATTTACAATTTCAGAATCTACATTTCTCCAGGTGCCTTTGAATTACTATCAGGCTGCAACTATGAGTGTTTCCATTTTCATGCAGGCATTCCCCCTCGACTTGTATACTGACAGCTTCTACGAGAACAGGAGGGACACCATTGAGTCCAGACTCCAGCTGCTGCACGCTTCTTCCTCAGAGACCCTCAAAGAGATGATTGCTAATGTCTGGAATGCTCAAGAGGGAAAAGCAGCAGCACTAGTTAGCTGGGAGCGGTTTACTTCTCTTCAGCAGGCGCAGGTAAAATAGCAAACATCTCATCATACTTTTAGGCCAAGATTCATGGACCTCTCCGACTTGGTGCCTAAATTTTAGGTGCCTGGACCATCACTAGGATTCACAAAAGCTCAATGGGGATGGAGGTGGAGAAAGACGACGTCTCAGAATAGGATTTACAAAAGTCATCTTGCTGGGTGGCTTCTCGTCCAAGGCAGCCAATTGGAGGAGATGTCAAGGGGAGAGAAGTGTTGCTATGCCCTCTTCTTTTGGAGATAGGTGCCTATATTTGGGCTGCAGGAAGATACCTCCTTCTGCTTGGGATTCTCAGGGGGAACTGTCTCAGGGCGGTAGGTCCTGTGCTGCTCTGGCAAGAAGCTGGACAGTGGGGAGGTGCATCTCCCTCGTAGCTTTGGTTGGAGTACTCACCTGGTTCAAGTTCTCCTCCCACCTGTTACCAGTGTTCCCTATAAGCTATGCACTAGTGTGGCTGCTCAGGAGAAATTCAAATTCTGCCCAGCTGATTAGCAAAGCACCCACGGCTCAGCTTTGTTTCTACTGGTGTTGCACATGCACCAATTAATTCCACATGTGAATGGAAAAGAGTAGAGGGAACACTGGTCACCCTTTCAAGTGAGTGCTCTAACCACTGAACTCGGGGACAGTCTGTGGGGCTAAGTTCCCCTTTGTGTCTAATTTCAAAGTCACTGGAGCAGGGTTGCTGGGTGACTTTAAAATTGTACACAAAGGGGAACTTAGGTTCCCCTAAGTGGGTCAGCCTGTAGTGCCCTTCTCGTGCTTGCTTTCTCTCGCCTGTCCAATGATTCTTTCATTATTTATCCACTGTGAAACAGCTTCAACACTGGTGCCGAGAGAGATCCATTTGTGAACTGTGTCTTTAGTGTTAAGTCACGTATGTGTCTAGCCAGAGGAGGAGTTATGGCCCCATTGCCATAGTATCTGAGCACCTCACAATATGGAATGTGCACCCACGGATGTAGGGAGGTGCTCTTATTTCCATTTTACAAATGCGGAACTGAGGGGTAGCACCTTGCCTGAGATCACACTGGAATTCCATGGCAATCGAGGCTTCCCCAGTCTCAAGCTAGTGCTTCAACCCGTGTTCTCTTTTGGGCCAGAAGTACTCTATGACCCTGTTGCCAGTCTTCCTGTACCAAAGCTGGGAATGGTGGAGGAGGCTAGTTGCAGGGAATATGTGAGCTGTGTTAAGCAAAGAAAGAAGCAAACAGACCTAGCTTAAAGTGGTCCTACTTTTGCAAGTGGAAATGGAACCATAAAGTCACTTCTTTATTCTTGTACTTTCAGAGTCTAGTAGCTTGCTTCGGGGGACCTTTTCTGAGTGGTGTATGTAGGCGGCTTTCCAAAGATCTGCGCCATTGCAGAGGGGGTCTTCCTGATCTAGTCGTGTGGAGTACTCAAGAGCACAACTTCAAGGTATGTTCCTACCTTTGGCATGAAAGCAGCATACCAGGGAATATCCCCCTAAATTTCAACTCAAATACGCAATGAATCCTAAATGGCATGGCAGTAAAAGAAAAGCTTCCATCTGCCACAGCAAGGCAAACTTTTTATTTGTACTGTGGCCCACATGCTATTCATAGCCCCATGGACTAGCTTGGTCTGCAAACCACTGCAGCCGTTGCTCATATGGAAAATACTGATGTGCTTTTCTTAGCTTGCCTTTTAATGCAGTTATCAGTTGGAAGAAAGCCAGCCCAGGGTTCTGTTGATGAATGCCAAATAGTTCATGGACCACAGATGATTGCAGTATTGGTGACAGGTCAGGGTGTGCTACGCATACTGCGGACTACAGCACTGCTGAGTCATAGGCATGGTTACAATTCTGTGCATGTTCTGCAGCTTTTAATGGGACTGTGGTGTGGACTTACACTACTTTAAACATTACATGCATGCGGGATAGGCGTAAAGTGAACACCCAGGTGGCCGGAGGAATAAACACCTGGCATTGAGTGAATGTTCATGACTAGAGTTCTTTCAGAGGATTCTCGCTAGCTAAACTTGTAGGCTGGGTCTAGACTGGACAGTTTTTCCAGAAAATCAGCTGCTTTTCTGGAAAAACTTGCCAGCTGTCTAAGCTGGCCGCTTGAATTTCCACAAAAGCACTGACTTCTGCTGTAAGAAATCAGCGCTTCTTGGGGAAATACTATTCAGCTCCCGTTCAGGCAAAAGTCCCTTTTGCGCAAAAGGGCCAGTGTAGACAGCTGAGATTTGTTTTCCGCAAAAAAGCCCCCGCTCGCGAAAATGGCGATCGGAGCTTTTTTGCAGAAAAGCGCGTCTAGATTAGCATTTCTGGAAAATCATGCCAGTGTCGACGTAGCCATAATGTTCTGAGGAAGCTGTGAAAAGTAAATTGAGAGCAGAAGAGCTTACCATAAGTGTTCCTTTTGCACGAAATTGTGGTTTTCCTAGAAGTGGCAAGGGCTACTTTATTTGAACCACCAGAGTGGGGAGAATGGCTGCTCTTATCCAAACAGCTGGTGCTGTGCACCTCATTGATTCTAAAGCTAAGCATTTGATTAATACTTTTTTCACATTAACATTTCAGCTGGTGGAAGTTAAGGGTCCCAATGATCGCCTCTCCCACAAACAGATAATTTGGCTGAGTGAACTGAAGAAGTTGGGAGCTGCTGTAGAAGTTTGCCATGTGGATGCAATTGGAGCTAAGTGTAAACGCCTCAGTTGAAGAAAATGATCTTGGACATATTGGCTGGAAAGGAAGAAAAACTAGATTTAAAAAAATAAATAGTATGAATATTTGCTAATAGTTGCTTCTTATTTTAAGCACCTGATACCCAGTGTTTCTAACTGAGCCTTGTCCAATAGAAATAATGAAGTTTGATTCTTTGTTTTGGTAAAGAGCTCTTAAGTTTCCACCAGCTTAAGTGGAAGAAGAGCTCATGGGTTTTCTTCTAAGTACCACAGATATGCTGTAAGAGTTCTGGATTACAATTGGCTGAACGTAATCAAAATGTGCCCCAAAGCAAAATAATTCAAAGCAAGTTTTGTAGGAACAATAGAGACCCTTCTCCCTTCACCTCCTTGCAATCCAATCTGTGCCTTTGCCCCGTTCTTTTTGGCTACAGGCAGGGGCAGCCCATGAGCCTAAGCAAACTGTCCTGGGTGCCTGATGATGATGTCACAGCCATTGACGGCCATGCAGGCGGGGGCGCGGATCACATGGCCCACCTGCGGCGCCAGCTGCCACAGCCAGCCCCTCTACAATGCAATATGGGGATGTAATTACCCTTGTGGGCTAATGTGCATGAACAAACTAGCTCAAGGCCACATGTCCATGCCTCAGCTGCCTTAAACCACAGTGGCTATATTTTTAATTTACTAAATCAAAGCTAGCTAGTGATAACGCACCAGCAATAATTCTTCTAGAGTATTAGGATTTTTAGTGGGACAATGTGCAGAGCTAAGTTTGGATTGTGATGCTTATAATGTCTGCCAATAACCAGTTTTGATCTATAGACAATAACAGGAGAAACAGGAGCCTACAGGGAGCCCCTGAGATCTAGAAAAATCTCAGCTATTTTGGAATTGATTGGATGCAGTGTTTACTAGTTATCGCCTTACTGATATGTGCCATCAAAGTAACAGGAGTGTCTCACCTGTGCTCAGCCAATTAAAGTTAAAGCACCAAATTCTGCTCTTTGGGAGGGAAACACCCTTACGTATACTTTCCTATCATACTAACCCTAGGTGCCCTACTTTCATGCATGAAACAGCTTGCCACTCACTACCTAATGAAGGAAGCCAGGGGGGTGGCTGTTGAGTTTCCTAAGAAATAACACCCTGAAAGAAGATTCTACAATACTATAGTTTCCCATTAAGGTACTTAAAAGCTTAACTTTACTCTCCTATTAACAGAAAGCCACTATTAATATAGAAAGATATTTTAAAGTTTGCAAGGGGAACTGTATGCGCATAAGAAATGAAGTAATTTAGTATCAGCTGTTTTATGATGAGACGCTTTTGAGGACAGTATTTATGCTATGTACTAGCAAATGCTATCCAATACTGAATCAAATTTGCAGCTGGTTAGATAGCTGCACATTACATTAATTCTTATGGTGGGTGTTTTCTGGAATAAGCACAGAGAATCCTCAAATACAGATATTACTTTTCCTTTGTATAGGGCAAAATGGTATCCACACAGATCAGCTGAGTCTCTTACTCTAACAGAAATGTCAACCACGCTCAGAACTTGTCTCCACATCAAATAACCCGAAGTGGTAAGCAAAAAAAAGTAAGAGGCAGGCAAGGAAAACATCAAATGGGCTACACAGAACAAATATTTCTGTGTGTTCTTTCTGCAGGTTATTCTATTCCACCACCATCAGTAAAATAAACTCAGAATTACAGTAGAAACGCATGACCTTTTATTAACAGTCTAATTATTTCACATTCACAACCTCAGTGCCAAGATTTTGTATTCTGCCTGGCAATTCTACTTTATTCAGTAAGTCATCATCATTGTGAGGCACAAAGGTTTTAGTTTCAATTAAAACAGAACACTGACCTGCTGCAGCTACACCATTAGCAATCTATTGCCTTAAGGGATTTAAGGAAACCCAGGTGCTCAGTCTCTTTTTGAATGCAGATTGATGTTCTATCTTTTCCTTAAATGAAAAAGATTATACTTTTTTTGGTTTAATGTATCTTTCCATCTGAGATTAACAGCCAAAACCTTTGATCTTACTGTGCACATTAAAAGCACAAAGGTGGTTTCATATTAGAATGGTATTTTTATCTGCATGTTTTAAAAATACACTCACTTCAATAGGTTTTTAAATTTGTAAGCATTTCTTTGGTACATGGCAGTAATTCAGTGAGTGAAATGGTACTACCATGACTTCTGACATCACCATAACTGCCACTCTGCAGTAGCTAAAGGCATTAGTTTCACTTTGACCACTCCAACCAGCATTTCATATCTCACCCTAATTTTTTACATTACAATCTAGCAAAATAATCATGATATAACAGCCTACTATCAACCGAAGCAGTGCATATGGTTAGAAAACAAATGATATAAAAATAAGCTCATTTATAGTTTTTCTACTCTTTAAAACGCTAATGGTATTAATAGTACCTAACATTAAAAATTGCCAAAATTTTAAAGAGATGTGTGTTGTGGAAGATAGCTGTCTTCAGAGCTACTTGCAAGAAATAAGGGCCATTAGGTAAATTCAGAGCAGTTGGTATTGTCAGTAAGGCAGCTTTTTACAGTGGGAAATGAATGTAACAGCTGGACAGGTCCTATACATCATTAATTAGGAACAGCCTTTCAACAGTACATTAAAGTTTTAAACTATTTAAATAGTCAGGGTAAAACAAATACATAGGCATGATTAGTACTCAATCAGGCCCCAAGGCAACTAAACATGGATATCACTAACTAGCATAACACCACTAGTGCTTTCTTAGCCCCCAAATTCTGAAAACTATTCTGTTCTGTTTGTTAAATAGATATTTAGGCAGTTTTTTTAAAGGCATAATATTTACCAACAAGAACAGCAAGCTAGAAATCCTTACTCAAGTAGTGCTTGTACCTTTTTTCAAAGATTAACACCTCACATATTAACCCTACTTCCACCCAGATGCTTATCTGATTAAAGTAATTTACTCAAACTTTAATAATTCTAAAATAAACTCTAGGAAATCTATTTCATGGCCTATACCAAAATAACCTGTGAAAGTGGTTTATTAATTTTAAAATATGGGACCAAAAATTAGCGCACAGGTTGCGGGCTTGTATATAAGTATGAGGCCTGGGAAAGCTTTGCCCAAGTTAAAATAAGTATCAGAAAAATAATTTTTACTAGTATCTCTGAGGAAGACTTTTCAAGATGCAAAATAAAATAAAAGATACTAGAATACAGTTGCACATGGAGGGAAGTGCCCTGCTCAGCTTTAAGTTATGTTTCTTCAAAGAAAAAGAATGGGGGAATTCCTAACCAGCTCTTTCCTGCTGCACAACAAAGCGTTTGTGTGTGTGTTTTAAATTGTTTGGAAAACGGGTAAAAAAAATTTGCGCCAATCTGCTTTATCTTTAAAATTAAAAAAACGAACCCAAACCAAATACTGGTGTAAAGCAGCCAAAAGAACACATTTCCTAACTATTCTGAAGTTAAAAAAAACCAAACACAAACACAAAAAACAGAAGTGAGACTTAGAGACTAATAAATAGAGGTGCTACAGGACCTTTTTTTTTTAAAGCTACAGACTAACAAAGCTACCCCTCAGACTTATTCTATAGCTGAGTTGTGTCAAGGGGGGAAAAAAGCAACTAATTATGTGTTGCAAATTGGACTTTTGTGGCACTACCTCCACTCCTATAAATGGACACATTTAAAGTATGGAGTGGGAGAATAAGATTGTTTATTTTCTGGGAGTAACAGGAAATCAGTCTTATTTTGGGATAGACCAGGGATAGGCAAATACTGGCCCATGGGCAAGATCCAGTTTGCCAGGATTAGCCCCTGGCAGGCCGCCACCACTATATTTACCTGCACCTCCACAAGTATGGGCAATTGCAGCTTCCTTTGGCCGTGGATCACAGTTCCTGGCCCACAGAAGCTACCGGAAGCAGCGTCCCAGCCCACACAGCTTCCATTAGCTGAGAACTGCAGCCGCAGAGGTAAATATAGCGGCGGCGGCCTGCCAGGGGGTAACCCTGGTGAACTGCCACCATTTTATAGCCCACCCTAGACAGAACTGCCCTGCTAATTTATATATTGTCATTTAAGGTTTCTGAATTCAGACTACATTAAAAATGACTTTTTTGTGAAACAAACTCTAAAAATCACTAGTCAGAATATGGAAATTATGTTTACATTAGCGGGTAGTTCATTAATCTATTAAAAATGCATTTCATGGTGCAATTGACACATCTTACTAATACTTCATTCTGATTAAAGGCACTTCTAAGGCTACAATAATATTCTCCACAGTGAACATTTTAAGGTTAACAGTGCATAGTGTCCTGAAGTCAGTTCCTGTGAACTAAAGGCAAGCTCATGACATTGAACAAAGATTTCAATAGTTTCTCTAATGGATAACTGAAGGAAAAAAATTGACACCCACTGCACCAACACAACATACAATAAGGAAACCAAGTCACAGAAAGACAGCATGGACACACAAATGTATCCTTGCTAAACCTGTACTGCGAAAAAGTAGTTTGTTCCAATTGCCAGTCAGTAGGTCTACAGTAATGGTAAATTTCTTTGATGTTTGTTTTCACCAATTTAAATTTGCTAATCTGTGATGAGATAGATTAGCTTCAGTCAACAGCTGGGAAAACAGACATTGCAAACAAAAAAAAACATGATTAGTGACCAACCCGAACCTTTACATTAGTGAGAGAAATCGCTGCATCTTATACAATGAATCAGACCTATAAAATATAGAAGAAATCGTCAGAAACCAGACAAGACGTTTACATGACAACTACTGAAAACAAAATTGTGCGATGTGAAGCATATTTTGCTTTGCTTTTAAATATTTGTGCAAAAAAATGTAATATTTGTAAATAAAATTATTACAGCTTCCAATGTCGCAATTAGCAGTGTTAATTTAAGAGAAGACATAATGGTCTGTGATTTCTCCCTCAAATGTTGAAGCATCTTAGTCCTCATTTGCAAGTGTCTCAGTGGACAGCCAGATTTTGGCACCACTTAAAAATTTACTTAAAGGTGTTCCCAGAATGCTCCGTCTGCATAGGTTCCCTATTGGAGAAAATGGGAATGAGGAGGAGAGAAAATCTGGGGTCCCAGCCGTGTCATTTAAACCATTTGCTCTGAAGTACATCCTGCTTTGATCCAGTTCTGAACAGTTAGCTTGCAAAGAAGAGCTGCTTTTGTACTGACGAAGACTCTTGTTTAGCTTGTCTACTTGGTCTGTCAGCACAGAGATTTTATGGAAGGCAGTGATGAAGCCACCATTATTAATTTGGGCCTCAGGAATCCAGCGGAAGTAGCAAAGTTTCCATAGTTTTATGTGTGTTCTAGACAGACCGGGTAGAATTACACCATGCAAATCGACAGGCTTTGAAAACCAGTCTTTGAAATACTGCTCCATGCTATTGGTCTGGCGATCCAGTTGCTGAAGAAAGTCTGGTTTCAGTTTTAGTATCAGTGAATTTCTTCTTGGAAGAAATTCTTGCTCATTGATGATCCCATTCTTTAATGATGGGGGAATTCCTCTTAGCGTTGAGCTGTAGTTTTTCTAAAGAAAAAGATACGAAATAAACTTGGTTAATGTTCCTCTGATATCTGCTGCAGTTGGCAGTATTTTATCTGTGCCTACAATTCTCTGCTGTGGTACTAAGAAATGACTAAATGAGATAACAATGACTGTAAGAGGCTAAGTTGTAAGTTTAATGACTGTGTCGCTTGCACAGCAAATATTTTTTGTAACCGAATTCAATAATATTAAACAGTGGAAACAAAGTAGTAGTTTAAGAAACTGTGAAATAATATGAAAAACAGCGTTTATCCAATGCACATTTCTATCCCACCCCAGCTGCAGTGGTGCGGAATGACTTATACATACAAGAGAAGTCCAATGGCCCGGCTCTAAAGGGCTATACCTCTAGAAACATTCATTTGAATGCTTTATCTATAGACTAGGAGGACATCAGGCAATAATGGCATTGTAATTAAATTGCTGACATATGAAGTCAACAGGCATTTAATTTCAGTGCAATTTTATTATTACCTTTGTACGTTTAAAAGTTTTGACTGATCCATTTTGTACACATTGTGCAAGGGGTTGTGAAAGAGCATACGATCTCTTGTTGCAAACTGAAGAGACCAGTCCCAAACAGAAGGAAATTTTAGGCCTTTTTCATCACCCAACTGGATGTTTTTGCTTATAGCAAATTCCTGCAAGAAGGAATATTCAGACATATTAAAAACAAACTAATCTGATTACTTACAAATCTGATCATACAAAATTCTCTATAAATTATTGCATGCTGGCAGAGAGCAGGGGAGCATGGGTGGCTGCAGACAAAATGTCAAAATATATAGGGCAACCAAGGTGATCACAGCTGGAGGACAGGAGTAATATGCAAGCAGAGCTAAAGTTTAGTGAATAAGAACCACATTTCTCTATTTTTAGCATTTATTTGCTTTTTAAAAATGAAACTTCTACATGTATTTCTATGCGTATGCGTTTGAGAAAACAGGGGCGGGGAGAGGAGAAGAGGGAATCATGAAGAGAACAATGATAAATATTTATAATCTTAATTGTAATTTAAATATATATTTGTGTTGGCATATGTTAGGACTTACTTGCACTGGTCTAAGAGTCATTGATTCTTTTAAGCAGAGTAATGATTGTAGAAGAGTTGCCTGAGAAACACCTCAGGGTTTTTGTCCTACCCTGGGAGATGCAGGTGACAAACTATTCTTTACCCTGCATACACTGTATCCAAGTCATTTGTGTTTGCTTCCTTTGAAGATTGGGATTTATTTAGATATCTACGATAGGCGCTATTTAGGCTTAAGCGCCACTGTTTCTCTTTCTGTCTGAATAGTACTTCATCACTACTACTCAGGCTTTTAGCATTCATTTGTAAAGCTGTCACTGGGTATTTTAAATAAATTATGTGACCATGTCACAAGAGATTTTACTGTGTCTCTAGCTTTGGGTACCATGCAAGTCACTGTGTCTCATGCAGATGAAAAGAAGGTGCATTCTAAACCCATTGCAAGAATGTAGCATTGCAGGTTTCGGATAGGAGTACATAGGAAGGAAACAGCGCGCTTATAAATTAATGGAGATCGCCTAGCTCCTAGAACTGGAGGGGACCGTGAAAGGTCAGAGAGTCCAGTCCCCTGCCTTCACAGCAGGACCAAGTACCATCCCTGACCAATTTTTGCCCCAAATGGCCTCCACAAGGATTGAACTCACAACCCTGGCTTTAGGCAGGCCAATGCTCAAACCACTGAGCTATCCCTCCCCCTAAAATTAATGGAGATCACCTATCTCCTAGAACCGGAAGGGTCGTCAAGTCCAGTCCCCTGCCTTCACAGCTTGTTAACAACAATGCTCCCATCGAGCATTTTTACCCCACAAACCATTGCCATTTTCAGTCCATGCAGAGAGGATTGCAGACACAATCTGGTGGATACTCATCTTGTGTTGTGTTTTACTCAGCATGTCACTTAAAAGCCATGTTGCAATTGTGCCATCATTTTGAAAAAGTAAATGAACGCCATTTAGTTTTGATTTTGTTCCTTGCCTCCAAGACTCATGTCCTAAGGTCAATTAGGTGATGGTAAAACTTCTTCATACTCACAGTGCTCTGCTTTACTCGCTGGTGAGGGGAGTTGAAAAGAAAGGTGCCAAACAACGAGATCCGTGTACTGTCATACAGTATTGTCAGGTATGCTTCAGAAAACTCAAAGGCCGATGGATATTGCTCTAGCAATTGCCAAACAGAGTCCAGAAACATCAAGAACAAGGGGGACTTGAAAATAAATGGACATAATTATTAGAAGCAACAATCTTTGGCAAAACCTTTCCAACTTGTTATCCCCGACATCTTAATTAGGAAACAACCACATATTTAGTATGCTTCTAAAAGGGAAGAGAAGTTTGGAACGAAACAAAAATCACATAGAAACTATAACACAAATACCAATACCTGCGGTAGGGATGCAAAATCCTGTTTAATCAGTTAACGAGTTAAACTGGTTAATCGCTTAAATTCTGGCAAGGCTAGAGCACCCCTGCTCTCAGCTAGGGTTTCCAGGTAGACCCCGCTAAAAAACCAGACGTCTGTCTGGCGTGGGGGGGGGGAGGGAACTAGCGGGAAGC